CACCTCCGCCGGGTTCGCGCGGCGCTGCAGCTCGACACTGACGAGGTCGAGCGCCTCCATGAGTTTCTCCGCCGCCGCCGCTGTCGCCGCCGTCGTCTGTCCCGCAACGGCCACCTCCGGGTTCTGCTGCTCGAGGCTCTGCAGCGCTGTGCGCCGCGCCGCCTCCTCGTCCATCGCCTCCTGCGCCATGCGCTCCTCCTCCTCCTCAGGGAAGACAATGTCAGTGCCGCGCAGCAGGCACCGCACACATTTGTCAACGCCAGCTGTTGCCACGCACGTGCCGTTTGCCGTCACTGCAACAGCCCACACACCGCGCTGGTGTTGGCGGAACATCTGGATCATCGTCCAATTGTCACCGTCCCAGTGCTTCACTGAACCATCAAGCGAGACCGTGAACAGCTGATGCGTGCCCTGCAAGAACGCCACTTGCGTCACGTAGTCGTCGTGCGCGTGAATCGCACGGTGACAGTCACCAAAATCGGTGCCCCACAGGCGCAGCGACTTGTCCATGCCAACAGAAGCCACGAGCGTGCCGTCGGACGAAAAGGCCACGGCGGTGGGCGGCAGCTTGTGCCCGAAGAGTGACAGGTATGGCTTCATTGTGTCGGCAAAGAAAAGCTGAATGTTTGTGTTTTGCAGACCCACCGCCATGAAGCGGTTGTCTGGGCTGAAGGCAACGAACAGTGGTGTCTCCGTAAGCTCAATTTCTGTCAACTGCATCAACTGCGGCTCGGAACTGCCGCTGTTGTTGTTTTTCTTGTTCTTCTTGTCGTCACCAGCTTCATTTTTNAGCAGCGCCAGAGTCCACGCAATGAGGCGACGGTCCGCGCCGACGGAAACGAAGCCGCTGTTGTCCGGGCGCCGCGCCACATGCCGCACGCCACCCACGTGCGCCATCGGCTCCGTAAACACGACCTCAGACGCAGGAAGGTCAGCAAGAAGGATCGCACCGTCGCGCTGCCCAACACAACAGAGACTCGCACCAATCGCCGCCACCGACACCGCATCGTCGACGGTGACGTGACCGGTGCACGTCAGCGCTCCCGTTGTGTCATCGCGGAGCAAATTCGCCTCCTTCGTGTCATAAAAGTCGTGCAGACGCCCTACTGCGCCAGTCCCATCCTCATCGTCATCCTCATCCTGTGGCGCCTTAACAGAGATGTTCCACATAATCAGCTTTTCCGCACTCAGTGAAACAAGCGCGGTGTCGTTCTCGACAAAAACGAGCTCGCGGATATCGGACTGGTGACCGCGCTCCTCCATCGTGTGGCGTGGCTTAAGGTCGTCGAGCGTCCATGTTGCTGCGCCCTCCAACTCCGTGGTGGTGAGCGTTGTCGTGAAGGTTCGCACATTATTGTTGTTGAACGTCACGGCAATGTGGAGACGGTCCGCATCACGAAGATTGGCGCCACCGCTGCTGCTCGTAGAGGCGGAGGGTGGAACGAAGCAGGCGCTGCGCACCTTTCCGTCAAGAAAAAATGTGCGCAAAAGGACCACCTCCTCCGCAGCACTGGCCGAGGCTGCAACAGCACCACTACTGCTGCTGGTATTGTTGTTATTGCTTCCTGCAATGTCATGCTTCCCCTGCCCTGATCCTTCTTCTGCCCCACCCACCGTCACCACTGGTTCCTCCTCCTCATATTCCTCCTCGTTGTTGGTTTCCTTCTTTGTTGCACGCCGCTTACGCTTGCGTGACACCTTCTTGCGCACGTCCTCCCGCATCAAGAGACGGAATACTTCAAGCGTCTTACTTGTACACGCCAACAGGAACGCACCATCATGGGAAAAGGACAGGGACGTTACAGGCTTCTGCAGCTTACGTGCGATGCTTCCGTGCTCCACTACCGCCATCGTCGCGTCACGCACCGCATCCGTCCTCGTCAGCAACTCCGTGTTGTAGACCTTCAACTGGTTCTCGCGCAGGCCGCAGTACAGTCGCTGCCCCGCACTGTCCAAGCACAGTGACGACACCTGTGCGTCGGTCGCTACAAGTGTTTGCACACACTGTCGAATGGAGATGTCCCACACCTTCACAAGCCCATCTGCTGCGCCCGTTACTATCAGTTGCTGTTCCTGCTGCCGCTCTTGTTGATGCGGGACAAACTCCACGCCTACCACCCCGCCACGGTGGCCGCGCAGGCGAAAGGACGCCTCTTGAGTAACGAGGTCCCACACAGTGAGGTCTGTGTCCTGCCCGCCGCTGCACATGCACGTGCGCCGCGAGTCAACAGCAAGCGCAAGGACAGTCGTGTCGGCTTTGTGGCCAAGAGCGTAGAAGCGGCACACAGGCTGGCCGTAATTACTCGTCGGACCACAGGAAAAAACGGCGACATGGCCATTGTGGTAGCCAACCAAGAGCATCCACCCGTCCTGCTCAATGCGACCATGTGGCAAGGATGCGGTTGTGGTTGTTGTTGATGCTGTCTCCAGCGGCACGACGCGGAGTGTGGTGACCTCTAGCGGCATCTTTGCCTCAGCTGGTACCAACGTGTGCTGCAGCGCCCCGCTGCGAACAGAGTACACCCGCACCGCCTCAAGACTCGCGGCAAACAACACTGCCGCCACAGGTGCAGATGCTTTTCGCTGCCGATTTTGTCTGTTGCTGCCGCTGTAGTGGACTGCTGCATCCGCGTACGACGGCCGTGCAACGACACTGCAGAGAGAAAGCGACGCATTGCTGGCCACTGCGCCCCCCTGCGGGCCAACTGCATAGCGCAGGTATGTCTTCCCTACCATGAGACACCTGCGCATACCAGAGATTGAGTAAGAAAGAGGGGAGAAATAGAAATCATTAAGAGAGGACAAAACTTGCAGTGCTCCAGATTCCATCACTCAAGACCTTCCCAGCATTTTTTCGTTAACAGAAGACGTCACCGCCGCCG